TGCCCAGGCAGGTCTCGAACCCGCGAGCTCAGGCAATCCACTCACCTCAGCCTCCCAAAGGCACGGGATTACAGGCTGAGCCACCGAGCCTGGCTGACCTGAGTTTAAATTATGTTAAGTTTAAAGCCAAACCGCAGTCTGTGAGAAATGGGAACAATGGACTCCTAAAGTAAGCCATGCCTGTTGTACTCTCAGAACTTCATGCTTAGATCATCAAAGTCCCTGCTAGTGGAATGTGCCAAACAGCAAAGAAGGGAAGAGGGAATGGGCCTTCAGCTCCTGAACTCATCCTAGTGGTCTCAGGGTCCACAGCCTGCCTGGATCCCTAACGCTGAGGCAGGCCTCCACAGCCAGCTCCCAACAGGGTTGCCCTCTCCTCTCCTAAATTCTTGAAAGGGAAGTGAGCTTTACTCCCAGATGAGTTCATTCACTCATCAGATATCTGTTGAATACTTACATGCCAGGCATTCTTCTAGGTGCTGGATATAAAGTAGTGAACAAATCAGCCAGAGATCCTGCCTTCCCAGAGCTTGCATTCTAGAAGGGAGACAGACAAAAATTAAGTAATTATAAAATATGCCATATGATCATACATACTATGAGGAAAACAAAGGAGAAGGGTAATGTGTTCCAGTGATTGTTTCTAATTAATAGGATAGCCAGGTGGGCCTCACTGAGAAGGCAACAGCTGAGCAAAGGTGTGTCTGGGTTGGGTTGTGCCTGGAAAGTGTTCATTTTATCAGTTAGTGTCCTTCCAATCTCAGTACAATGACTAAATCTTTCCCTTCTGTCCCCTCGTACCCTCGTTGCTCTTCCTTCAGGAGTTAAGCACAAGCCCAAGAAATGCCTAGGACTCCCAGAATGTATGTACGTCAGTCTCCAGCTTCAGACCCAGCTTGCCCAGTGACAGATGGCTATTGGAAAATTCACAAGCATCCATGACACAACTGGCTCCTGGGAAGAAAAGCAAAAATCCTTATCTCCCAGCTTTATCTTGTAACCTGTTGTTAAATCACCTGCTCCAAATCAAAAAATGAATTGTGGAACAAAATTACTGTGCATACTTTTTCCCTCTCTCTCCCCAGTAAGCCCTTGGAATTTGGGCATATGTTCTTTTTTTTTTTGAGTTGGAGTCTCACTCTGTCACCCAGACTTAAGTGCGTTGGCATACTCCCAGCCACCGCAGTCTCTACCTGCTGAGCTCCGACGATCCTTCCGCCTCAGCCTTCCAAGTAGCTGGAACTACAGGCGTGCGCTACCATGCCCAGCTAATTTGTTTTGATTTATTGTGGCGATGAGGTCTTGCCAAGTTGCCCAGGCGAGTCTCGAACCCGCGGGGGCTCAGGCAATGGGCATATAGTCTACATATGGTTAGTTTGTTTACAAGTTCAAAATAAGTGCTCACTGAGGACAAAGCATTGTACAAGGCACTTGGGGTTACATATTACAGAAGAGACGGTGTAGAGGATAAGACAGATAATCCATTGCAAAATGTAATGGTGCTGTGAGAGGGAATGAAGGTGAAGAGAGAGCACTGGAGGTCACTAGGGTAGGATATGACTGAACCAATCTGAAATCTTGCTGGAAGAGTGACTTTATGATGGCACTTGAAGAAGGGGAGGGATTGGGTGGCACAGACCATGAAGTCAGGTAGTTTCATGTCGATTGGAAACTTGAACAAAAGGCTAGAGATAGAAGAAGAAGCCATCTGAAATAGTAGAAGAGTTTTTTCTCCCATGATATAAGGTATGAGCCGGGCTCGGTGGCTCAGCCTGTAATTCCGCACTTTGGGAGGCTGAGGTGAGTGGACTGCCTGAGCCCGCGGATTCGAGACCCGCCTGG